AGCTCAGCAGGTAAGAGCGTGTGCTGCTCTTGCAGAGGACTCGGGTTTGGGTCTCAGCTCCTACACTGGGCAGCTGGTAACTGCCTGTAACTCCAGTTCCAGGGGTTCTGATGCCCTCTTCTGGTCTTCTGAAGCACGCCCCCCCCCCCAACACAGACATATATACACCGATACTTAAAAAATACTCTTAAAAAGAAAAAATAAGGGCGGTGGTGGCGCACGCCTTTAATCCCAGCACTCGGGAGGCAGAGGCAGGCGAATCTCTGTGAGTTCGAGGCCAGCCTGGTCTCCAAAGCGAGTTCCAGGACAGGCTCAAAACTACACAGAGAAACCCTGTCTCAAAAAAAAAAAAAGGAAAAAAAAGAAAAAAGAAAAAAGAAAATTTCAAGACTAGATGACACAGTAAAGCAGAACTAGACTGGGAGTTTACTAAAAGACATTATAATAATACAAGCTAAAGCATGACTACTAGGAGAAAGAGAAGTGTTCAGAAAAAAATAAGACACGCTCAAGTGTGGATATGGGCTCCTCAAGGGAGTGGCATGGCTCATTGTTTTTACAGTAGTCATATCTAGGACTTCGGTGAGATTCGAAGTTACTATTTATCACTGGATGGTTCCTGAGGGGTACCTGATAGTATTGCAATCAATGACTAAAAAATATAGCCCATGGGAATACAGAAAGGTAGGATACCTTTACTGTAAACATTGTTGTTTGAAGTTTTCAGGCAGTGTCTGGGGAAAGCGATGAGACCCTGCTCAAGACTCTATCTACGTCTCTTTTAACATAAAGCATCCATATATGAAAGGAATACTAGCTACATCAGCAGCCTTTGTAGCAAATGGCAGTTGCATAGGTCTTCTTGCTTCTCAGCTGAGAGGTTTCACTCAGATTCTAGAATGAGTCCCATTCTTCTCATGTCCCTTCAGTTTCTCTGTCTCAGGATTGCAGACAGGTGCCACTATGCTGGAGAGCAATCTCTGGTCTTTGTGCATGCTGGGTAAGTATTCTATCAAGGGACTTCCATCCCTTCTTCAATGACTGAAGTACTGGCACTGTGGCGGTTTCTGCAGATTCTTCTTTTCTTTGTTTGGTTTTGGTTTTTGAGATCAGACCTTGCATTGCAGCTCAGGCTGGCCTCAAACTTGAAATCCCCCTGCCTCTGGCTCCCCGGTGCTGTGATTATAGGCATACATCCCTATGCCTGGTACAGGGGCCTGAGAAATAAGGAGCTCAGGGAATGGCCAAGGTTTTGTGTGGAGAGAAGGGACATGGGCTGAATGAATTGGGTCACGGCAGAGAATGGATGGGAGACGCCGAATTGCAGCTGCAGGAGGTTCTGAATGCAGTCAAGGGGATACACAATTGGGGCTGGACAGTGTGTGAATGGAGTGTGTGTGTGTGGGGAACTAAGAATGCCTGGAGCATTGAAGGGTAAGGATGAAGCACTCAGGTGTGTCTGTGCAAATACATGGAGGAAGCTTGTCATAAAACCAATCTGGGCTTCCAGGCTTCCCCTCCTCAGAAGCCCAGAGCGGTGGAGCCCAGCCTTCCCTGAGGGGGAGAATCCTTCCTCTGACTGACTCCTGAGGCCCAAAGTCTCACCCCCGATGCAGTTTACCCACCCACTTTCAACTGGCCTTGGCTCCTCCAGCTCAATCCTGGATTATTTCTTGAACGGAGAGACAGGAGGGTCTGGAGGCCTATAAATGCTGTCCTTTCCCAGGCTGCCGATCCTGGTTCTGGCCAGCCCTGGATGCTGTTCCTCTGGCTGGCTGGCTGGCTGGCTAGGGCAGAGTGCCCTGGGAATTGAGTAAGAGCAGGGCCCTCAGTAGACAAACAAGTAGCGCCTCATGGCAGGCCAGTCAACAAGTAAGGTTAGAGGTCACAGCATTTGGGGGGGTGAGTTCTGCCCATTCTTCGTGAGGGCTCCGGGAAGCCACTTCCCTACTGGGGCAGCCTCCTGAGGCTGGGGCGCTCACTAACCCTCAGAGCACCAGAAAGGGGAAAAGGTAAGTGCTAGGAGCCAGCTGGGGTCATCCTTCTTTGAACCTCCACGTGGTATTTGCTTAGAGCAATTGCTGTCCCAGCCCCAGACTCCTGGAGTATAAAGCAGGATGTCCACCCTCTGTGCCCAGAACTGAGCAGGTGAGCCTGTATGGCAGAGGAATGGTGGGGGGGCAGGTGCTGGGGGGGTGGCCATTGTAGGAGAGCTGCTGGTATGGGCTAACCCAGGACCTGCCTCCCGCATGTTGGGTTTGCCAGTTTCTCAGCCACAAAATGGGATTGGAGGCAGGAAGACAGGCAAGGAATGGAGCTAGCCCGCCCCAAGGTGGGTGGGTAATTTCTAGTGCGGCCTGACGTCCAGGCTCCCAACTTTGGGATTGAGGTAAGGAGCAACCCACTCCTGTTGTCTGGGGAAGACATCTCTTCCCTCCCAGGCCCAACCCCATGCCCCAAGTACCTAGTTAGGTTCTCTGGAGCCTTCAACATGATGCTGCCTACACATGACAGAAGGGGCATCAGGATTTGGGGCAGGTAGCCCCTAGAGCAGGGGTCCTAGATCCAGGCCCTTCTTTTGCCTCGCCTCCTGATCAAGCCTCCATCTCCTTTTCTTCTCAGGGTGTAACGTGGTCAGCATGGCTGCAATCATCACTTGGGCCCTGGCGCTCCTCTCAGGTGGGTCTTCCATCTCTGACTTCAGTGTGGGGTTGGGATGGAGGTGGGATGGAGGGGCCCGGCCTTTAATTGTCTCATCCTTCTCTTCAGTGTTTGCAACCGCTCAGGCACGGAAGGGTTTCTGGGACTACTTCAGCCAGAGCAGCCGGGACAAAGGCATGATGGGCCAGCCGCAGAAGCTGGCACGGGAGTGAGTGACCTGGGGTAGGGTGTGGGATGGTTCCTCAGCTCTGTGGCTCACGTGGAAGGCGAGGGAGCCAGCCACGCTTGCACTGCCAAGCACACCCCAGCCATCTTGGTCACCCTCTGCCCAAGTCTCTCCTACCCTGCTGCCATCTTTCCCACTGAGGTGTGGCACCTGAGATTAGATTAATGGGTCATAGAATGACAGGGTGGTGTGAATCTTGACATGTGTGTGGCATCTTCTTGGATGGTGCCGTGGCGCTGAATTGAGTTGCCTACACAATGTCATGATTGTGCTCTGAATCTGAGGATGTAGTAGGCTGGGATTAAGACTAAAGACTCTGGCTCTCCCGCCACTCTACCTGTCCTGGTTTCTATGGAGTATTGCTGTCCCATGCTCTGGAGCAAGGGAAATGTTCAGGGCCAGCAGTCTAATGGCCTGGTCCTCTGTTTTTCTCCTTCTCCAGGAGCATGAAAAACAGCTTCGAGCAAGACCTCTACAATGTGAACAATTTGCTAGAAAAGCTGAACCCCTCTAGTGGGCCCGGGAAGGAGCCTTCCCAGCTGGCACAGGATCCAGAAGGCATGAGGAAGCAGCTGCAGCAGGAGCTGGAGGAGGTGAGAGCTCGCCTGGAACCCTACATGGCTGCAAAGCATGAGCTGGTAGGCTGGAACTTGGAGGGCTTGAGGCAGCAGCTGAAGCCCTACACCGTGGAGCTGATGGAGCAGGTGGGCCTGGGTGTGCAGGAGCTGCAAGAGCAGTTGCGTCTGATGGGAGAAGACACCAAGGCTCAGCTGCTGGGGGGCATGGACGAGGCGTTGAGCCTGTTGCAGGAAATGCAAAGTCGCGTGCGGCACCACACTGACCGGGTCAAAGAACTCTTCCACCCATATGCAGAGCGCTTGGTGACTGGCATTGGGCACCACGTGCAGGAGCTGCACCGCAGTGTCGCTCCTCACGCGGTTGCCAGTCCCGCGCGACTCAGTCGCTGTGTGCAGACCCTGTCCCACAAACTCACACTGAAGGCAAAGGACCTGCACACCAGCATCCAGCGCAACCTGGACCAGCTGCGCGAGGAGCTCAGTGCCTTCGTGGGCGCCAGCGCAGATGGGGCAGAGGATGGAGCTTCCCCGGACCCCCAGGCTCTCTCTCAGGAGGTCCGCCAGAGACTCCAGGCTTTTCGACATGACACCTTCCTACAGATCGCTGCTTTCACTCGCGCCATTGACCAGGAGACAGAGGAAGTCCAGCAGCAGCTAGCACCAGCCCCACCTAGTCACAGCGCCTTCGCTCCTGAGTTGGGACACTCAGACAGCAGCAACAAGGCCTTGAGCAGACTGCAGAGCCGACTGGATGACCTGTGGGAAGATATTACCTATAGCCTTCATGACCAGGGTCATAGCCAGCTGAGAGAGCCCTGAGGGTCTCCTTGCTCAGGTTCACTCCCCAGCTCCTTGTCTGGGGATGCCCTAGATCCTGAGCCTGTAGCATGGCCTATTGGGCAGAGGGTGGAGGGTCCTGCACAGTATAGGTGATGCCACCAGATGGTGCTGCCTCAACCTATTCAGCCTCCTCAACTCCCCCACTCAGGTGCATTATATTCACCAGGTTTTGCAAATCCAGCTTCTGGTGCTCATTTGGAATCCTCACAAGTTGCAACATTCGGGGTGAAGGGTGTGGGGAGACTATGTGTGGGGGAGACTGTCTGCACGCCGGTACATGACAGTGCTGGAAGCCTGTGGCACCACAACCTGGAGTTTGACTCCTGTTACTTCTGGCTGCCTGATGGTCACTGTTAGAGCTGGTCCACAGAGAGGAGCTCTTGTCTCCCCAGGGCTGCCCTGAGAGCTTTTGTTGGAAGAGAGCAGGAGAAGAATATGATGGAGAAAGCGTATTATGGTGTGTGTAGATCCCCACCGGCGATACTGCTGGTGGGTCAGTGATGCAATGGGGCGGAGCCCCCATTTCCTTAGATAACTCTGCACCCATACAAGGAACTGAGCCCTCCACACTGTGAGGACTTCCAAAACCCTACAGGGAGCATCCTGTGTGCCCTCCCCATCTTCAGGCCCCACATCCTGACTTTCCCCGGGGTGAAACTGACTTTTGGTTGAAATGAAATAGAGACTCGTGTTGGAAGACGTTTGTTGGCCTGGTGTGACTCTCATTGGACCATGTCTGAGAGCAATTGCCTTCCCACCACCCCTAGGACACACACAACTTCCACTCTTACTCCTTGCTTGCTCTTTTTCATGGTCCCCTTTCCATTTCTGGTCTGTCAGAGGGGTCCAGCCTGGGTGAGTTCTGCCACGGGACTCCTGGCTAGACAAGAGCTCTCACACTTTGGGGGGGACGGGGACGACAGGCTGGCTTACAGACTCTGCCTCTGCACCAGTCCTGTGCCACGGTCTACTCCTCGCAGGACAGTGTGCGTGGACCACAGCCTGACACTGGACAAGCATGCCCTGGTTACCTGAAACCCCTGAGAGGCCCTCTCACCCTTGCTCCTGGTGTTCCAGATTCCTCATGGCGTCTTGACCCTCTTCTTAGGACCCATAAACTAATTCTCCCCCATTTCCCTCTCTCTCTTTCTGACACAAGATCTCACCATGTAGTCTTTGCTGGCCTGGAACTCACTATCAGGTTAGCCTCAAATTCACAGACATCTGCCTGCCCCTGCCTCCTAAGTGCTGGGATTAACAGTATGTGCCACCATGCTTGGAGACCCCAAAATTCCTATCTCTCTCCCTTCGTGTACACACTCACTCAGATAGCAAAGATCACCTGGGACCAGGGAAACTGGATGAGGTGGGAAAAGAAGAAAGCATAAAAGTTTCTTTCTGTACTTCTCTGCCCTGCCCAGCACCCTTTCCTCCCCGCTCAGCCTACCTCAGCCTCCCCTGCACAGGAGTCTTGATACCTTCCCACCACAGACCCTGTGTGGAGCTGGGCTCCATGCGATCACACACTTGTCATCCCTGATATTATTATAGATGTAGCCAGTTTCAGCCATGGAACTGGGTTGTGGTCCAAGACGTGGGAGGAAGTGCTAGGAAGAACACTTGAAGAGAACCCGCTAAAGCGGCGTGTTTTGTTAGGAAGTGGGGAGAGAGAAACCGGGAGTGCAGTAGTAAAAATAAGGTCTGCGTATTCAAGGTTAGAATTAGGGGCGATGCTTATGAGTACAGAAACAGGGAGCTGGGGGAACAGAGAGGGAAGGGGGGAGAAGCAGAGCAGCCTGGATAGGGTACCCAAGTAAGGACTGGCTCATCACGAAGCAAGCAGAGTTTGGAGGGCACAGCCTAGGGGATTCCAAGGCATGCAGGACCCTTGTCCTCGGGCATTTTTACATAGACTTAGGGACCAATGGTTAGGCTCCCTATGTGGTGGAGCCACAACCAGAAAACCAAACATGAACTTCTCTGCCAGCTGCGATACTCCAGTCCGTCTACGGAAGTGCAGTCCGCATGACCCAGGAACCGGAAGTCTTTGTCAGTCGCTGAATTAGCCGGCAAAGGGTCTGTGGCCTCTTTAAGAAGGGGCGGGAACAGCAGCTAGAGGAAGTGATGCCACAGCAGCTGCGGAAGCCGGAAGCTGCTGCCTGAGCACCGCGCGGGGTGATGTCCGCCAGCGGGGCTGTGCAGCCCGGGCCCCCGGGGGCTGCTGTTGGGCCTTCGCCCTCCGCGGCTGGATCGCCAGCCACGGGGCCCTTGTTCCGGCCCCTCAGCGCCGAGGATGAGGAGCAGCAGCCCACCGAGATCGAGTCGCTGTGCATGAACTGTTACCGGAACGTGAGTCGGGGGTGCGGAGTCTGGGGCCGGGGGACCACCCAGCCGGGCACCCAGAGGCAGCCCTGGCGTACGGAGGGCAAATGAGTTTCATTCATTCCAACCCTCGCTGCTTCTGCTTCCTTAGGGCACGACGCGCCTTCTGCTCACCAAGATCCCCTTCTTTAGAGAAATAATCGTGAGCTCCTTTTTCTGCGAGCACTGTGGCTGGAACAACACGGAGATCCAGTCAGCAGGCAGGATCCAGGACCAGGGAGTGCGCTACACTTTGACCGTCAGGGGCCAAGAGGTGAGTGTAGCCCAAAGGAGACACGACCCCACGGTGTCGGAGAGAGCACTGGAGGCCAGAGTCAACAGCTGTGGTCCGGGCCATCGGACCTCCAGTAAATCCCTGTGGCCAAGCCTTTAGTGCCCTCCTTTGGCAGTGGGACTGGTAGTGCTGCCCCCTGCTAGGCTGTTCTGTGCTTAAAGTACTTTGAATTTTGTGAGAGGGATGGAATGAATGAGTAGGACTTTATGGGCAATGTTCTCGGCCTCTGGGCATTCTGGCTCACACCATATGTTCTGGAGTAGTTTGGACTTTTCTCAATGGAAGGAGCGAAGAAGAAACAGCCTGGCTGGCATATGATAGAGAAGATGGGCTGATGATTTCCCAAAGAGAAGCCATATTGCTGACCTCTTTTGCTAGAACATTTTTTCCTTTCTGTCCAGGACATGAACAGGGAAGTGGTGAAGACGGACTCTGCCACCACGAGGATCCCGGAGCTGGATTTTGAAATTCCAGCTTTCAGCCAGAAGGGAGGTGAGTCTTAAGATCAGGTATGTGAGCTGTTCACACATTGCCGAAATGTTACCTGTTTTCTTGCAAAGCCTGGTGCCAGGTCAGGCCTCGTGGCTTATGTTTGGCTGTGTAATCATGGTGGATTTTCATGCTTTAATGTGAGTAGAAAGTTATTGGCAAAATTGCTTGGGAGTAAGATGGTTGAGAGTCGCAGTGAGACAGACCGTGGGGCACTTGTTTTAGAACTGCACAGATGAGGAAAGCAAGGCCTGCAGAGTTCAGGTAAAGGGCCGAGGGTCATGCAGACGTGTGATAGCAAGCTAACACTCACTTGTCTTGTGTTTCACTCACAAGCTCTGACCACCGTTGAAGGATTGATCAGCCGGGCAATCTCTGGCCTAGAGCAGGACCAGCCCACACGACGGGTGAGCAGGGATTTTTCTCAAATTGCAGCAACAAGGAATTATTGTAGAATATTAATTTAAGATGTGTTACATCTGTTTGTGCTGTGGAACATTTGTTTAATGATGCAAAAATGAGTTGCAGTCTTTTATGTTGTATTTGTTTAACTCTGTGAAGCTGTGTTACTTTGCCTGTCTAAAACACCTGATGGTCTAATAAAGAGATGAATGGCCAATAAATAGCAAGGCAGGAGAAAGGATAGGCGGGGCTGGCAGGCACAGAGAATAAATAGAAGGAGAAACCTGGGAGGAGAAAAGAAAGAGCAAGAGAACAAGGAGAGGAGGATGCCAGGGGCCAACCACACATGAAATAAGAGTGAAAAAAAAAAAAAAAGATGACAAAAGTAAGAAAAGGTAAAAGATAGATGGAATAATTTAAGTTAAGAAAAGCTGGCTAGCAACAAGCCAAACTAAGGCCGTGCATTTATAAGTAAAAATAAGATGTGTGTGTGTGTGTGTGTGTGTGTGTGTGAGATTTATTTGGGAGCTGGGTGATAGGGCACCCCAAAGAATAAAAAGAGCAAAAGCAACCAACTACAAATTATTGTTTGTGTTAAAATAGTCAGGCTTCCAATTAGCTGAACTGTGTCTGACCAAATGTTGGGGAACTTTTTGCCAAAGCAATAAAGGTGCTATTTCTCTATGTCTGTTCCCCAGTGTACACTCAGGCTTTACCTTAGACAAGGTTACAATAGCCTTTCGGTTATACCCAGCTTCCTGGGTATCCTTTTATGTCTATATTTCTTACTACAAAAATAATGTAATTGCACCTGTAGTCATCTCTCTCCCTAACTGACAGGAGAGGCATAACAAGATTTTGAATTTTTAGAGGAAATTTATTTTTAATAACATATTATGTGCCAGTGCATGGGTATGTATATGTGATGGCACATGCCTTTGTAGGCCAGAAGCAATGGATTTCCGTGGAGCTGTAGTTACAGCTAAATGGTAGAATAAGTGAGAAAATAAGCCCTACCTCCTACCCCAGCACCGTTTATAGACTTCCGATTTGTGGTTGTATCTCACTCTGAAGTTTGGGTCCCTCTGCTCTCATGCCAAGGTTGAAGTCAGTGTGCTCATCGAGGTGACGGATGTGGAAGAGGGTTGGTGCATGAGGTGTACTTCAGCTCTGGTGTTTTCATTCTCTTCCTGGTAGGCAATGGAACATGCTGTAGCTGAAAGGATCGATGTGTTCATTGGCAAACTGAAGGACCTAAAGCAAGTGGCTTCCCCGTTCACTCTGGTAAGTACTAAGTGACTGTGGTTGTTTTCAGTGTAAGGAGGGAGGGGGGAGACCATTGAGACTGACTGATCCCTGCAGCCCCAGGACTTGAGAAGTAGAGGCAAGAGTTCAGGGTCCTCCTTGACTACATAGCAAGTTCTAGGCCAGGCTGGGCTACACCAAAGCCCAGCCTCAAAATACAAAGCAACAAAAAACTGACTAGGATTTGTCTCCTGTGGTCTAGCGATGACTGGAGATTATATACGGTTTGTTTCACTCTCTCCTCACTTATGTTAGATCATTGATGATCCCTCGGGAAACAGCTTTGTAGAAAACCCACATGCTCCCCAGAAAGATGATGCCCTGGTGATCACACACTACAACCGGACACCACAGCAGGCTGAGATGCTGGGTCTCCAGGTAAGTGGGCTGAAGGCGTCAGAGGAATGCTCTGGAGTTGGCCTGCGTTCTGGGTTGCTTGACGTCACTAAAGATTTACTTTGCTGTTGTCCCCGCCACCACCTGCTGCACCCTGTCTGAGCTCATTTGTGGTGACCTTCACGAGGCAGGTAGCAGTCATGGGGATCCATCTGGAGTTCTGTCCTTCCCTTGATGGAGGGATTTGCTTTGGCTTCTCTGTCCTATGAGTTGGCACCTTCTAGGGACCAAAGACAATCTCTCCCTCTCTGAGCAGGGCAGGTTGTTGGGGAGGCTGAGGTCTGTCTACCTGCCAACCTGTGGTTTGTGTTTCTGTTCTTTTAGGCAGAAGCACCAGAAGAGAAGTCAGAAGAGGAAGACCTCAGAAATGAAGTGAGTTGTGTTGGCTCCTTTGGAACACATAGCAGATATGTGGGTCGAGTCTCAGGGTTTCCAGCATCTCTCATTGTCACAACTAACATGAGTGACCACTACTTCCAGCTGAGTGTCTTCAGCTTGTGTGGGTGGGAGTGCTCAGTCTGTGCCCCCATACTGTGTTCCAGGTGCTCCAGTTCAACACCAACTGCCCAGAGTGCAACGCCCCAGCTCAGACCAACATGAAGCTAGTCCGTATCTTTCAAGCAATTGGGTTGCTCGTCTGCTGACTCAGGCACGGACATTATATTAAAGATGGGAGCCTTCCCTTCAGGGAAAGCCAATGCTTTATCCTCAGTGATGAGGAGGGATCTTTGAAGAAACTACATACCTTGGCTTCTGTGTGTGGCCTAAGCCAGGTCTTTAAATGCTTGTGAACACAGGACCTGGAGTTCGGTTGTATTGTGACATGTTTACCGCCATCTTGGGTCCAGCATCTGTTTGTGTGGGATTTGGCTTTTCATTTCTTGGGGGTGGGTCGGGAGGTCATCTTCCTCTCCAGGAAGCAGACAGACTTCTTTAACTCCAACTTCCAGAAATCCCCCACTTTAAAGAGGTTATCATCATGGCCACCAACTGTGAGAATTGCGGGCATCGGACTAATGAGGTGGGTGGGCTCCATTGTTGGGGAAGAAGATCGGCATAAGGGCAATGCCTTTGTAGATGTTCTTCAGGATGAGCGTGGGTGTAGCTGGGCTCTTTGAGGCTTGCTGAGGGCGAGGAGCCCTTGAAGGAGCTGTGAATCAGCCTAGAGAAGAGAAGTTGGAAGTACCGTCGATGGCAGGGTAGATGAAGAAGAGGTGACCTTGTGGAAGAAGCTGGGCTACTCAGAGGGCTGGAAATTAGGCAGATAGCAGCTCTTAGTGAAGAACTCGAGAGAGCTGCCTGAAATTGATTGATAGCTGTTGTGGAGGATTGAAGCCCTCCTTCCCCAAGCATATGGAGCATAAGCTGATTAAACTTACGGGGATGGGGGTCGGGGGGTGTGGCAGTGGACAGCAAACCTGGGGCCTTGTGCGTACTAGGCAGTGCACTGTTACTGAGCTCCTTCCCAGCGAATAAATTCCTAAACTATTACATTGACTGCAGTAGATGGGGACTGAAATGCTTAGAAGTCCCTTTCAACTCCTACAGTCAGGATTTTTCTTTTTAAAGGTACATTCACGGCTCTTGGCAATTTGGGCTAAATTTGGCATGCTACCAGGGCTAGGCACAGTGTTCCTGCCGACTCTTAAAGTGTTTTTGATTTCCGGTCGCTGCTGTCCTTGCTGGATTAGAAGGCTGTCATTGGAAGTTGTTAGTCTGAGCCTACATAGAGCGGAAGTCTTTCTGGCACCGGGTGAAGTGGGCTTCTCTGGTGCTGTTCCTGACCATCCTCTCTACAGGTGAAGTCTGGAGGAGCAGTGGAGCCTTTGGGTACCAAGATCACCCTCCACATCACAGATCCCTCAGACATGACCAGAGACCTCCTCAAGGTAACAGCCTGCGTGGAAAATAGCTGTCCTACAGCTGCTTCTGTCTAGAGGACGCTATCGTTTAGCGTTCAAGAACACAACCCCAGAAATCCCCTGGGCTTGAGTGGCCCTGAGTAGGGTGTCTTCATGATTGAGACTACAGGCTCAGAAGGTGGCCCATAATCTTTCTGAGCAATGACTTGGCTGCTATTTAGTTTCCATCGACTATGTGGGTTCTTCTTTGCCCCTAATGATAAGGTACCGGGTAGCTTGTAGCTGTGACTCAGAGTTTCAGTTTATTATGCTAGTTTCATGTTGGTTCAGGTGGGAGAGTGAGCCCCTGGCTTTTAGCTAAGGAGTCAAGAGAAAACTAACATAATGACTTGGTCCTCAACCTTCACTGCTTTATTAATTTGCCAGAGGCCTCTGGTTGGCTCTCTTTGTTCTGGCTTAAATCAGTTTGTCTCTCTGAGTATCTGTCCACCTGTCTGGTGCTGTGGATTGAATCAGGGCCTCTGGACCACTAGACAAGGGCTCCTGTGTGAAGCTCTGCTGCCATCCTCTGATTTAAACCTTAACTGGACTATCGCCTTACAGTCCGAGACGTGCAGTGTGGAAATCCCGGAGCTGGAGTTTGAACTGGGAATGGCTGTCCTTGGGGGCAAGTTCACCACTCTCGAGGGGCTTCTGAAAGACATCCGAGAATTGGTGAGTCCGGAGCGTGGTGTACAGCTGGGGAAAGGGCTAGCCTGGTGTCATCAGGTATGGTGGCACATGCCTGTAGTTCCAGCCCTTGAGAAGTTGGGGTAAAAAGACAGGATTGGAGGCCAATCTGGAGCCCATCTCAAATGCCCCCAGCCTTCTCTGCCTGGGCACCCACTGCTTGCCCCACCTGCTTTGTGCTTGAGCTTAGTGACCCATACAGTCGGTGGTGTAGTGACTCAGCTGTCACGTGCTACAGGTAACCAAGAACCCATTCACATTGGGTGACAGCTCGAACCCTAACCAGACGGAGAAACTGCAGGAGTTTAGCCAGAAGTTGGAGCAGGTAAGAGGACGTGGGCCCTTTTCAAAGATCCTGATTTCCCTGCTCTTTAAACTTTTGGGACCCGCACCTTGTAGACTGCGTTGGCTCTGTCCGGCAGTCATAGCCTCTTCCTTCCGGGATCAGTGTAAGAGTTACCTGCTGTGTCCTCCTTTCTCCTGTAGATCATCGAGGGCAAGATGAAGGCCCACTTTATCATGAACGATCCAGCAGGAAACAGCTACCTGCAGGTACAGTAGGCCTTCTGGGTGTTCTGAGCTTCATAGACTATGCATGGTGGCCTTGCCAAGGAAAGACTGCCTTCTAAGTGACTGCCTCAGCTGGGACTTTGGGCAGGATGTGGACGACAGGAAAAATGAGAAAGGCGGGAGGACTTTCAAGTGTGTGTAATGAAAGGTAAAGAACAGGCCAGAACTAGTGCAAGTCTGTGAGCTACTCATGAGCCATGAGCTAGCTACTCAGGAGGCCATGAAGATTGCAAGTTCAAGACCAGCTTGTGCAGTTTAGTGAGAGTGTCTTAAGATAAAAAACAACAAAACCTAGGACTGGAGAGATGGTTCAGCAGTTAAGAGCACTGGCTGCTCTCCCAGAGGACCTGAGTTCAATTCCCAGCACCCACATGGCAGCTCACAACTGTATAACTCCAGTTCCAGGGGATCTGATACCCTTACACAGACGTAACAAGAATCCACAGAAAAAAAAAAAAAGTAAATAAATCATTTTTTAAAAAAAAAAGTAAGTGCCTACCCAGCTAGTGTGCTCAAACCCCAGGTTTAAAAGTGAGTAAGGAAGTAAGCTCTCTTCTTCCTGTGTCTGGTTGTCTTGTTTTTTCCTCTTATCCTCACCTTTGAGGTTTCCATTCTGCATCTCTGTGAAGTAAGGAGCAATAGAGTCTTGTCTGGCAGTCAGGACAGAACTGCTGAGAGATGTTAACCTGACTGGGCAAGCGCCTGTTAACTAATATAACTATAGCAATATTTTGTTGTTGTTTGTGGTGTTTGAACCCAGGGCCTTATCCTTACTTTAATATTAATGAGTACTGATGGCCGGCAAAACTGGCCTAAGTTATTTATATATCAAGACCATTGCTGTAATCTCTCTGTGCCCACCCTCCCTCCCTCCCTTCGTCCCTCCCTCCCTGCCTCCCTTTCTTCTCCCCTGCCTTCTTTTTTTGAAATAAGTCCTTGTTATGTAACCTGGATGGCTTTGAACTTGTAATCTTTCTGCCTTGCTCTCCAGAATGCTGGCATTACAAGCAATTGCCAGCTTTGGCTATATTTTTTTTTACAAGAAGGCCCATATATAAAAATGCTTGCTGGGCGGCGGTGGTGCACACCTTTAATCCCAGCACTTGGGAGACAGAGCCAGGCAGATCTCTGTGAGTTCAAGGCCAGCCTGGTCTCCAGATCGAGTTCCAGGAAAGGCACAAAGTTTTTTCGAAACCCTGTCTCGAAAAAAAAACAAACAAAAAAAGCTTGGAACTGGGGTGTAGGTCATCAATTGAACATTTGTATGCCATGTACAGAGTCTTGGGTTTGATACTAGCACCCCCATATATGCAGACTGTCTGGCCATGGGTCTAGAGGCCCTACACATCCCATGGAGTTCTTAGAAAAGTGAGAGTCGGTCGCAGCTGTGGGAGGGGATGGTGGGGTGCAGGGCACTGATTGTCTGCCCTTGGCCTTACAGAACGTGTACGCCCCTGAAGATGATCCAGAGATGAAGGTAGAGCGCTATAAGCGTACCTTTGACCAGAATGAGGAGCTCGGGCTCAATGACATGAAGACAGAGGGCTATGAGGAAGGCCTGGCCCCACAGCGGTAGCAGTGCCCAGCTCACAGGCCAGCCTCAATGCCACCAGCACCACAGGCTGATTTGTGACTGTTAGCAAGCGAAGAGCGTCCAAGCCCTTGCCCATGGTGAGGAGATTGCTTGAACCCAAGATTGAAGCACACAGAAGTGAGTGGCTGGTGGTGCAGCGGCAAGCCTGCCATGCTCCTGGACCTTCTTTTGGAGGTTTGGAGTGGTCTGAGAAGAACCCCAGAAACACCTTGTGGTCTGCCTTCACCTTTTGTCTATCGGCTCTCGCCCTTTGGTGCTGCGCCTCTGAAGTTCGGTGCAGTGAAATACACATTACAGCTGGCTTCCGGCTTTCCCAACTTTGAGCAGGAAAGAACTTGGGGCTGGGGGGGTCTGGAGCATAGGTGAAGATGCTTACATTAAAGTGATGGCTTATAGACATCATCCGCCTCTGTTTACTGTGTCCTTGCTGAATATCATGCTGTTCGAATCCAGCTGCCTAAGCTGGCCATGGAGGG